ATCAACTTTAGAGCACGTAATAGAATTATTCAGTAATACAAGGTTTTTAATGCGTGAATAGTCTGATTAATTTTCAATTAAGAGCTTTTTACTAAGAATACAATCTAACCAATATATGCGTACATGTACAGCATCACTTCCACGAAGAGAATGATGAACGTGTTGATGCATTAATGCATTAACGAAAAAGGTTTCCAAAATGAAGAAAGTTGAACTTTTTACATCGATTAAAAACCTCTTGGGACTCCATAGAGTTTCTTCAGTTTTTTGAAATTGTTATCAGAGACAAACGACTGTCATAGAAAACACATTCGAGATTTTCTTTTTCTAAGTGGTACTGTGTACATATATACTGCGGTGCATTCTAGTAAGTCTTTAATAGTAGTCAATTATGGTGATAATTGTAATAATTATTAGCACTTTGTTCTTCACACTAAACAACAATTTTAAAATTTTCAATCTCTAGTGTATCTTTTACGTTTCGTAGTTCATTGCAATATCACTTTTTGCTTCTCCTTTTCTGTTTTAAAATTCATACGGTTTCCTATCTACAGGTCTGTTATAATCAGTATTGTACTTATAAGCTAGTATTATTAGTGTTAGTTGTGATCCATATTTCGTATCTTATTGCCTGACGTTCGTGAACGAAAATTTATAAATTTAGATAGTTCTTTTTAGAATTACTGTTTCAAATTGCAAGCTAGTGTTCTCGACTGTGACATTTTCTTAAGTTATGACCACTCTCACTACTAGTGATAGTAGTAGAAAACGTTATTGCCTTTTTACTCGTGTTGGAGAAGAATGTAGCGATGAATATTTTAATTTCTGAGAAATCCAATGTAAAGATTTTGAGAAAATATGGTTTCTAAAAGCTAGATTTGCATTGTCTGTGCTTTTTTTAAAAGCAGACATGTTTTGCAGTAGAGTACGTCTGAAGTATCAAATAAGTAGCTAAAAGTACTTTAGAGTATTTCAATGTCCAAAAGTCTCTGTGACATACTAATGGCAGAGTTTTTTTTCGGGTACCTTTTAATCAATACATTCGCTAGTGTGCACTAGTTATTTTAATTGTGAACAAACACTATCGGTTTTTTTTTCTATGAAATGACTATGATAATGATTAATTAAAACTTTTCAAATTCGTATGACAGACTGTTTTCTTTAATATGAAACGTTCATTTTTTCTTGTGGAAATAGTTATTTTTGAAATATCTTATGTTTTTGTTTTATTCATAACAATAATCATAATTCAAGTACATTATCTGATTTTGATAAATTGGATATCTTTTTATTTTTTTTTGAAGTTCAACGACAAAGTTATTAGAAATTTCACTATATATTAAATTTTCAGAGTATAAAAAACGTCCTTTTTACTTATATTTTGAAATAGAATTTGCCAATTTTGTTTGTTAAATGAATACAAACAAATAAAATAAGTTTGATTTTTTTTGTATTTAAAATTGAATTGAATCTAAAACATTCTATTCTGTTCTCAATGACAAGCGTCTCGTGATAGAAAAAGACGAATTGAATATGATTTATTCTTTCTGTGTTTATTTTCTTTGCACATGACTGATTTTATTTAACGAGCATATTTAGTAATATTTCATATTACATGACGGACTAGGTTTTTTCTTTCTTTTCATTTCTCTTTGCCTTTCTTAGGTTATTGTTTGAGTAATTCTATACAAAATGGTCAAAATGAAAATATTTCATCAATCAAAGAATAATGAAAACGAATCTATTGAAATGAATTCAATAAATGATCAATCTTCGTCATCAGAACAAAAAAGCATTCAACAAAGAGTCTTTCGGTTAGTTTCAGTTTAAATTCGAAAAAAAAAATTATTTTTTTGCATTTAATTTAGTAAAAAATATACTTCTGATAAATGGAGAAATAGCATGACAAATCCACTAAAAAGTCGACGAAAAATTCTTAGGTTTAATTTTTAAAAAATGTTCTCAAATTTGATATATATATATTGTTCTTTTCATAGTAAAGCTTTAATCACTTCAGGTGATAATTTGATTCAAGTTAATAAACATATTTCTAATTCAACATCAAGAAAAAAAAAGCATAATAAACAACATGATAGAATAATAATAAATGTTAGTGGTAAACATTATCAAACATATTCATCTACACTTGAAAATTATCCAAATACATTATTGGGTAACAAACAAAAACGAATGTATTATTGGGATGAACAAGAAGGAGAATATTTTTTTGATCGTCATCGAGCTTGTTTTGAAGCAATACTTTATTATTATCAATCAAATGGACGTCTTCGTAGACCAGATTATGTTCCATTAGATACATTTTTAGAAGAAGTTTCATTTTTTGATTTAGGTCCACAAGCTGTTTCACAAATAGATAAATCAGAAAATGTTTCCATTATTAAGTATATTGATTTACCAAATTGGTTTTGGCGTCGTTATATTTGGTTTTATCTTGAACATCCTCAACATTCAATATTTGGTCGAATTCTTCATTTAATTTCAATGTTATTAACTATTGTATCTTGTATTACATTAGCTGTTGAAACCTTACCAAAATATAATGAAAAATATACTCATTTATGTGACAAACAAGAAAATACAACATCATCAAATAGTACTACATCATTATGTTTAGCAACATTACCTTCACCATTTTTTATAATTCAAACAATATGTGTATCATATTTTACAATTGAATTTATTTTACGTTTAATTAGTGCACCATCATATTATAGATTTATTCTATCAATATATAATTGGGTTGATTTAAGTTCTATTATACCTTATTTTATAATAACAGGTCTTGAATTACATCATCACGAACTAGAATTACGTGGAAGTTTGATAACTGCTTTACGTGTATTACGAATATTAAGATTTTTACGTTTAGTAAAAATTTATTTAATTTTTAGTCAATTGAAATCATTACGTGTTCTTAGTTCAACATTGAAAGAATCATTTGCAGATTTTATTATTATGATTATTATATTGACTTTATTAGCTTTTATGTTTGGAACTGCTACTTATTTTGCTGAAGAAAATCATAATGAGCAAGTTTTTGATTCGATTCCAAAAGCTACATATTGGGGAATAACAACTATTACGACAACTGGGTATGTTTTTTTATATTGATATTACATTAAAAAAAATATATAAATTTTATATGAGAAAAATATTGAGATGATCAAAACAGAATTTCTTTTTATTTGATATAACAACTAACCATAGTTTCAAACTTCAACGTTTGAATTTGGTTTTGACTGCAGTCATTTTCAGTTAATTAATAAAAATAAGTAGAAGAAAGCCAAAAGAAAAGATTTCACGTTTGAATATGATAGATCTATACATAGTGGAATAACAGATTCAAACTCAAGCTTAATCGAAGTTTCTGGTACTTACACGACTGCTTATATATTTCAAACTCAAACACTGAGTCAGAGTTTAAATTTGGCGCATGTCTAGACATAGCTACTAATGGTCTAGAAATTGACGAATATCTTCTCACAAGGAAAAGTTCTCAAGTGTTATCAATCATTTTCATTTAGGTATTGGTCATTTTATAGAACTCAGTTAATACAACATCTGATATTAAGAAGTTCGTCTCCATACTAGAATTTTAAGGAAACATGAGATACTATAACATCTAGCTCTTCGAAGGTGATCTGAATTTTAAAGGTATTATAATTCTAAGTAGTCGAGATTTCTCGATTGAATAAATAACGTCTGACTAAACAAATTCATGTGTCAGACTTAAATATACCGTTAAAGCATATCTTTATTTTGAATAGTTGAATATGATTAATTTTGGATTTATAGCTTCATTCTGTGTAAAATAAATTATCAAATAGATTGTTAAATAATTTTCGACAAAATATTTCTTGCAAAATCAGTCATATTCAACTATCCGAAATAATGATATACTTTACCTTTGGATTTAAGTATAACATATAAGTATGTTCAGTTGAATATGATTTATTCAATCGAAAAATCTCATCAACTTGGAATTCTAATATCCTGGAAATTCAGGGTTCTTACTTTGCGGCTCTTAATGATTTTTTAAAAGATACCTTAACTGATGTCGACGTCAAAATATAAGGCAGGTGGCTATTTTTTCAATAACTTTTTATAAAAACAAGATAGAGATCTGCGGTTCTCAGCACTAGAAAGAGAATTATTTTCTTCATAAGAATAATCCAAAATCCGATTGATCATCGAGTGACCAATTGGACGAGCGCCGTCAAACATTTTGCAAACTGTCTCGAGAAACTATTTTTCATTGGATTTTAAATTTCAATGTGACTATTCGATGGGAAAAATTCTTCTCTTTCGATCTACGCCAGACTGAGTTTACTAGCTCGTCTTGTTCAAGAGTTCTAAGTGTTTTCCTGAAATCCTCGAAATCGGTCAGATAACCTTCAATCATCCTAAAATAGATCACAATATGGGTAATCGACCACACTGAGTCTAGTGGTGATATTTGTTTTTAGTTTCAAAGCAATCTGGAGCCAGTATATTAAGATTTCCGATGGTATCACTGATCTCGATATATGCATGAGAATGTAGATAAATCGGAAATTTTCATATATTGACTTTAGATTGTTTTGAAACTAAAAATAAACATCACCATTAGACTCAGCATGGTCGATTACCCATATTGTGATCTATTTTAGAGTGATTGAAGATTACTTAGCCGATTTCGAGGGTTTCAGGAGAACGTTTATAGTTCTTGAACACGGCGAGCTAGCAAGCTCAGTTTGGCATAGATTGAAAGAGAACAATTTTTTCCATCGAATAGTCACATTGAAATTTAAAATCCAATGGAAAATAGTTTCTCTAGGCAGTTTGCAAAATGTTTGACTGGCGTTCATTCTTTTGGTCGCTTATTGCCCAATCGAATTTGACAAAGTTTTACTTCCCCCCCACATTGCTCTTTCGAATACTCAAAAGCGCAGATCGTTAGTTGCTTTCGTTCTCGAGATATGAAAAAAAGACATTCGCGTTGATTTTATTTTGGTGGCGATAATAATTAGATTTCCTTAAAAACTGCACTGTTGACATAAGGTCTTTGTATTATTCAAAGATCTTCATGCAAACAGATGCTAGTATCGATAACTACTTACTAAAATATGAATGATACTTTAGAATTTGTTAGACAGTGGATGAAGGAGATAATCTTCCATTACATATAACTGATACATTTCTCAGAGTATCTCGAAAATGGAACTAATACCGATATGAATTTCAAAATCAATTAATCTGATAATAGTGCAGTTTGACATATTTCAATCACTGGTGATATCGATGATCAATTTCATCCTTAGAAAGAATAAAAACAATTCTCATATTGAAAATATCTTTTTATAAAATAGGAATGATCATAAAAAATGATTTATAAAATAATTGATTTGATTATATTTAATAAAAATATATCTAATAAATTAGATATGGAGATATGTATCCAATAACAGTACTTGGTAGAATATTTGCTTGTGCATGTGCTTATTTTGGTGTTGCAACGGGTGGTATACTTATATCTATACTTGTTGATCGTTATCAACGTGTTTATAATCGAAAAAAATTTTTTCCTGAACAAATTATACCAGCAGTCGATCCAAATGAAAGTGAACATGATGAAAAACAAGATTTTATAAATAAAAGATTAACTGAACCTAATAGAATCTTATCTAATAAACAAATTTTACCACCGACACCAGCACCTTCAATATCTTCTCAAACATATAATAGACAATTTTCTAGATATAGTGCTTTATCATCTCAAATTCAATTTATTATTTCGCTGACTGGTAATGAAACAAATGATCAATCGATATATCGAACAGCAAATGAACTGTTGACTGAATTAACACAAGCAGTCAACGATAATAACGAAAATATTAATTTCAAATTAATTGGTCATAAAAGAGATTCTTTAAACGGCAGAATATCAACTGCAAATGAAGAATCATCTTCTAATTCTCAACAACAAATATTCTAAACAAAATTTGAACGTTTTTTCTTTTGTATTGATATATCATGCATATATGTTCGTTTTTTTGAAGTAAATTGTCTACTATTATTTATTAAATTGAAATAATCAGCAAATCGTTCATAAATCAATATGGATGAGCTGATTGTTAGTACTCATAATAAAAGCGCTTCCTTATTAAGTTATAATTATTTTACTGAATTTTCAACCGATTGCAGAATATTAGGCAGAAAACTGAATCAAAGAATTTTACTCAGAAATAGATCTCATGATTTTTATTATATTCTCAAACTTTCAGCGAAAACAGATACTTTTCTTTCAAGATAATAATGTTGCAAAACTGCTGGTTTCTCGCAAAACATTCGAACAAATCCGGGTTTTATTTGGGTATGCAATATTTTTTGAAGAAACTATCAGTTTTTGCTGATACTTTCAGAATATTCTTCATAATATCCTGCGATATTACGGAAAATTCAGTAAAATGATTATAACTTAAGAAGAGAGTGACAATTGCACAAATCCTTGTAAGACTTTTATCTTAACGATGGACTCTAGCAATCAGTAAAATATAAATCTGTATATTGATCGTTCATTTACGAATATCCAATAGATCTTAGATTGATTGAGTATCTACCAATTGAAATTTTTAACAGAATCAATTATGTTTTTTTCTTTTATCATTTCGATGATATAGTTATGAGTAGAGAAATTAACTTTGCATTTTAAGGCAAAGATTTGTCTGTGAAATAAACTCACGCTGATATGTTATAGGGCTTATCCGGCTAACAGTCAATCAGTACGATTAAAGTTGAGTATTGGATTTCTCCGACATAAAACAATAGATCGTATTTATTTAAAGTTTTTAAATAGGTTTTTATATATTCGCCGTCGATCTATCTGATTTGTTTTTAAAAACTTAGCGAAGAAATGATAGTTGGCAGACAAAGTGACACATTTTTGGCTGAAAATAGTTTGAAGATGCATTTTTTTTTCTCTTATCATATTTTGGCCACTGTTTTGTTTCTGATGAAAATGGATCTATTAGTAATCATGCTGATACTAAAGCTGCAGTTTCACATCGGTCAATTATTTTGTTCTTGTCAATGTTGTCAAAATAGCAGTTTTAGAGAATTTCTTCGAGTAGATTGAGTGCATCATATTCATTCGTGAAAATTTTATCTCGTATTCAGATTTTATACTAAGACATCATATATGACAGATTTTAGACTTATATTAAAGATGATTATAAGAATTACTAATAATAAATAAAAATGATTCTGGATAATTAAATTCAACTCGAGAACAATATTGAAAATACTTACGTGCAGATTGTTTCAATAATGAAATCATTGGCAAGTCTTCTGTATAATATTCTACTCTCAGCAAATCAAGAAAAAAGTTTGTGCGCTAAAATTTTATGTAATAGAACTTGATTTTATCTAATAAACGCTTGTTTATTACAGACCAGTTAGGAGTAAAATGCGTACCTCACATGTACTTTTTAGCTTCATTATAATGATACACAATATGTAATGTGAAAAAATCTGATGCAGACGATAATTGCCTTCCACGAATAATTGATCGTAAGAGAAATGATCTGTCTCATTTATATCAGTATTTCGAACAGAGTTTTTTACTTACGTTCTAGCTTTTTTCTATCTTGTTGCTATTCCTTCGTTATTTATTTTCTTTGTTTTTATTTTAATTTTTCTTGAACTGGTACCATTATGATTAAGCCTGTTTTACACACCTATTATATATCTTGAACAGATCTTAACATGCTATTATGTATGTTGACAACTTCAGAAACACTGCTATTGATTATTCTCGAAAGCTATAACTTAATCAGTTCATACTTTTAGTGTTGGTCGTATGATGACTGTGACTAATCAAAACACCATTAGTCATCATCATCCATGGTATTCTTATTTCAAGAAACGCTTTGGAATATTCTCGAACTGTCTCAAACTTGTTGTTAATGCCATTCAATGCTTCTTTTTTTTGTCGTTGATAAAGAATCATAGAAAAGGAGTCGGGTGCCTGTTCTCCATGGTTGCTGTGAAAACGTACCTAAGGATCATTGATCCTGATTAGTAAAGCCTATTATGAGGGTGTTTGACAGTGTTGCTACGACTATCAGCGGTGTTGAAATCATTGATGTATACCTTCATCGTCACACTTCCACCTAAGTTGTTATTGAAAGGGAATCTAAAAAACCTCGTCTTATAACTTACATTAACTGTTTTGCTTCGTGGAATCTATATATATAATGTTCAGTGTGTGTTTCTCTGTGCCGGATCAAAGGTCAAATAAGGCTATAAGAGGAAGGTCCCAGGGCCTATCTTATGGGGGGAGGGGGTACCCATACGTTCTTAAGAGAGGGTCTGCCAGAGGACCACCCTAGGTCACTGGAGAAAAAAATTTTTTTTTCGATTTTATTTTCTTAAATGATAGGTCTAGGTAAACTATAGTTAAATCCAAAATATTAGCGCATTTGGTTTTACCTATGAAAAGTGTGAGCTAAAACAAGTTTAAGGGGGATCAAAATTGATCCTAACAAGTCGCTAAAAATGGGCTGTGCTCAGTATTTTGACATTTTCTCATGAATGGTTTGACCGTTTGAGATCAAGCACATCTTATTAGATAGGAAATAGTATAGGCTACAAATTTATCCAACTTTGATGATTCATATCTGAGATAAAAGAAACACTATAGATCAAAAACCTTCCAAATCTCAAGAAATTCAACACTCTTGGATAGCAGTATTTTGGACTTTTCTTGAGTGGTGCAAGCGGTCCCAAATTTCTTCTTTTACTAGACATAGGTCTTGTCAAGATACATCTTTTGACATTAAATTGTCAAGACGAAAAACTCGGGGGCCAAGTTAGCATGGACTACACTGTCCCCTACCCTACCTAGTCAACATTGATTCTACCCCAGAAAGACATACAATTTCTACAGAAATCACGAAAATGGACTTCAGATTCGTGTTCAGCTTGAAAAACTAGATTAGACAGGTTATTTTAGATTGATTTCTTATTTGTACCAAGCGTGCTGAACATCGTGGGTCTACTTCATACATATATAATAGGTATATGACAGTGTTTTGATAATAATTTACCATTATTAATAATTATCAAGTTCGGGATTTTACCATTCGATAGCCCTTTTCAAAAGCTACAAAGCTATATATTTTCCAAGCTTATAACTCTTGATCACCTGAGTCATACCGAGGCACATTGATCTTGGAAAACGATTTTCTGCATTTTTGCTCCCTGTTTACCCGTTTTGCATTACAAAACAACATTTTGAATCAAAACCAATGTTATATTCGGAATCAGCGTTAAAAACTAAGTCGATCCATGTACGTTTTAAAGATTTCTGAGAAAAGAAATTTTCCTATGAAAACATGACCCTGTACTCCCCCTCAGATTTCATGAAAAAATGATTTTTCTCAAAAGCGATATTTATCGTGTGGAATGAAATAGCCGAGCTTCTGTAACTTCAACAAAAGTAAAATACCAAAAGAGTAAACAACTCGAACACGATTTTAAGGGAAGTCATTTTTTCATGAACCCTGAGAGGGAGTACAGGGTCATTTTTTCATAGGAAAATTTTTTTTTCTCAGAAATCTTTAAAACGTACATGAATCGACTTAGTTTTTAACGCTAATTCCGAATATGACATTGGTTTTGATTCAAAATGTTGTTTTGTAACGCAAAACGGGGTAAACAGGGAGCAAAAATGCAGAAAATCGTGTTCCAAGATCAATGTGCCTCGGTATGGCGCAGGTGATCAAGAGTTATAAGCTTGGAAAATATATAGTTTTATAGCTTTTGAAAAGGGCTATCGAATGGTAAAAACCCGAACTTGGTAATTATTAATAATGGTAAATTATTATCAAAACACTGTCATATACCTATTATATATGTATGAAGTAGACCCATGATCTTCAGCACGCTTGGTACAAATAAGAAATCAATCTAAAATAACCTGTCTAACCCAGTTTTTCAAGCTGAAAACGAATCTGAAGTCCATTTTTGTGATTTTTGTAGAAATTGTATGTCTTTCTGGGGTAGAATCAATGTTGACTAGGTAGAGTAGGGGACAGTGCGGTCCATGCTAACTTGGCCTCCGAGTTTTTCGTCTTGACAATTTAATGTCAAAAGATGTATCTTGACAAGATCTATGTCTGGTAAAAAAAAGAGGTTTGGGACCGCTTGCATCACTCAAGAAAAGTCCAAAATACTGCTATCCAAGAGTGTTGAATTTCTTGTGATTTGGAAGGTTTTTGATCTATAGTGTTTCTTTTATCTTAGATATGAATCATCAAAGTTGGATAAATTTGTAGCCTATACTATTCCCTATCTAATAAGATGTGCTCGATCTCAAACGTTCAAACCATTCATGAGAAAATGTCAAAATACTGAGCACAGCCCATTTTTAGCGACTTGTTAGGATCAATTTTGATCCCCCTTAAACTTGTTTTAGCTCTCATTTTTCATAGGTAAAACCAAATGCGCTAATATTTTGGATTTAACTATAGTTTACCTAGACCTATCATTTAAGAAAATAAAATCGAAAAAAAATTTTTTTTCCCCGGCGACCTATATGGAGAGTAGGGTAGTCTTCTCGCGGACCCTCTCTTAAGGACCATTCTATGTGGTACCCATAGGTCTTGAAGGCATAAGACAATAAGAGGATAAGGCTAGAAGAGCTACAAGGGATATAAGACTATAAAGGTGAAGGCTACATGATCTATAAAAATATGTGCGATATAAGAGTATGAAGCCGTAGGACCATCTATCCATCTGCATAATATCGAGTGTCTGTATGTCTGTTACCGGACAAAAAGTTAAATATCTGAGGTCATACGTTAAAGGAGAAAAGATCCGTGCAGTATGCACGAGACCTCACTAGTATGATCATATTAGAGAATATGACATGAATGTGCGTAGTAAATATCTCAACATGAGCTGCTGAAATTCCAGTTATTGAATATATTTGTTGACAGTATATTTCGCGTTGAATGATTTAGCAACAACGAAAAAAATGATGCGTATTTAGAGAAAACTTCTTGAGATGCTATAGAACATCTAGGTTTTTTTTTGGAAAATTGTTCTATCTCAACTAGTGCAATGGTGATGGGTCTAGTTCATGAAAACAAGATTATAATATTATCATAATCATGATCACAAACATTACCTTTTTATAAAAAGAAAAATTAAGCTAACAAATATGATTTTCCAAATAATACAGAAGAATTTTTGTGATACGATCAAAAAAAAAAAGATATTCTACAAGCATAAAATTTGAATATGTGTTTGGACAAAGTCTAGTCTTACGTGATTTGCGTCACAAATGCAGAGATGGGCAACTCCGGGTATGTACCGCTCCAACTCCAGGTAACTCCGCTCCGATTTTCAAAAATCCCACTCCAACTCCAACTCCAACTCCATCTATGTACCGCTCCAACTCCGCACAACTCCGCTCCTATTTTCAAAAGTCCCACTCCAACTCCAACTCCAACTCCTGATTGGTTTTTATAACTCCGCTCCAACTCCAACTCTACCTAGTTAAAGCCCAACTCCAACTCCGATTTAACTCCAATCCAACTCCAATTCTACTAAGTGGAACTTGTTTGAATACAAATTTAAAAACAAAGTTTTTCAATATAAATGTATGAATAATATCAACGAGTTGCACGTTCATTGTTCTTTTGTAGAAGTTTTAATATGTACTTAAAATATCAATTTAATAAGTCGAGATTACATTTAACAAATGTTAATTTAGACAACATGTCCTTTGATAGTCGACTTCGATGAGGTCTCATGAGTAATCCACTTTGCGAGAAGACTCGTTCAGCTGGAGCAGATGTAGCTGGAACACATAACACTTTCAATGCTAAACGATGTAAATATGGAAAATGATTCTTTTTCATAAAAATAAGATCAGTTTCATAACGTTGATCTTTCAAAAATAACATTATTTCTTCATTTATTTCATCCATAATATTAATACGCATTTTTTTTGGAGGCATTGGTGATGTTTCATAATAAGCGAAAAGACTTTTTCTTTTTGGTGTAAGACTATTGTCATACGAGTTTTTTCCACCAGATTGACTGTTATCAATAGCTGTTGATGTTGTTTCTGGTTGTGCACCATCAGCAGTTTGAACATTGCTAACAGAATCATAAACTTGAAAAGCTGCTTGTGCAACAATACGTTTTATCTTATCACACAAACGATTTCTAAAACAATAAATATACGAACTTTTTATTTCTAATGTATTCTAGAGATTTTATATATTTTTTATAAATTTTATCGACCAATAAAGGAGGAAAGATGATAAAAAAAGGCTGAAAGCTTATAAAATATTTAAGAATGATTGTGGTACTTACTTTATATCTTGAGATAAAGGAGATTGTAATATCCAACGAAGTCGAAACTGTCCATCCAAAAAAGAAGAAATAAGGAATATGTCGTCCGAAAACAGGTGGAATGTACTTCGACGTTTTATGTGATCATCGACAGGTATTCCAAGATTAAGAAGAAGTCCACCAAATCTTTCTTTTAATGAAATAATAAGTGCATTACATAATGAACTTATGTATTTGCATAATTTTAATTCATTTTCTAAATCATAATAAATTCCAAGTACACTTGGTGCCACAAGTGATATAGATACACATTGTTCAGCTTGTGTTCGATTTGTAGCTTCGACGAGTAACGTGAAAATTGATATAAATTCACGTAATACAGCTAAATCTTTCATTGACAGTACTAATTCAGGTTTTCTTTGTTCTGTCAGAAGGTCATTTAGAAATATACTAGGTATATCAATAATTTTTGAAACTGTAATAAACTGTGAATTCCATCTAGTTATGATAGCTAATGGAATACTAAGTTTAAACTCCTGTAGCTTTTCGGCTACTGGAATACTTTTGTGGCTTAATTTTGCAATCTCGGCCACTTTTGCCATTGCAGACCGAGTGCATGCGCTTTCATTTAAGCCATCTTTGACTACAAGTTGTAGTGTGTGAATGAAACATGGCAACCTTAATAGCTCCTCTCGTTTGTCAAATTCATTTTGACCTTCATCATCATCAGGAGGATGTCCTTCAGACACATTCAAATTTATTTCATTTTGATCATCATTATCATCACTTCCTTCTGTATCATCTTCAGTTATGAAATATGACTCAAACCCTGGTATGACTAATTCACCAAAAGCAGATAAGTTATTTGAGGCATTGTCTGTTATAAGTCTAACAACTTTATTTCCAATTGAAAATGCTGTTGAAACACGATCATATTCCATAAACAAATTTTCACCAGTGTGATTACCTACAATATTTTATTAATTTATGTATGAAACAGATCATTATTCGTAGTCGAATTCACAAACGAGTGATTTTTCTCATTCAAATAAAAGAGATTACTGTCTATTTTATTTTTTAATTTTTGTTGGATATAGTTGTGTCCACTAGGATGACTCTAATTTCTTTTTTTTCTTGTCTTCATATTCTATTTTACTTTCTGATTCTTATATGCTGTCTACGCACGAGTAGACACATAATAGATCGTTTATTTTTTCTTTTACAAAACAAATGGTTACTTTCTTTTCTCTTATGCAGTCGTTTTGTGTATAAAACACAAGCTATCAGAAAAAAAAAATTCACACTCGTTTTGTTTTCTTAAATCAATGTATATAGTATTCAAACTAAGGACATGCCCTCACATGACCTTTCATTTGTCCTTACTTTCTCTTCTGTTTCTCTCTTCTCTTTCTCATCTCTCTATCTCTAGATTCATTCTTCTTTATCTTGTATATAAAATGATTTGTGGAATGTGTTTGAAGATATATCACTTGCTTTCTTAAAATATAACAAGAATTCTAATTATAAAATATTTTTTAATTCGAAAACATCTTTGGAATACACAAAAGAATGAGGTTCGTTATTAATATTGTATGAAATATTTATTTATTCAAATTTGAGCTCATGATATTTTTATCTTGCTCATTTTTGAATGAACAAAAAGATAAAGGAAACATTTATCATAAGCCTCTGTGTGATTTCATAAGAAACTACTTTAATGTTAATATAAATCAAATAAGAAATCTTACCAGAAAGAGGATTAAAAGCGAGTAAGTGTGCTTTTAACTGACCCATATGATCGATATAATGCATTGTAATGGCGTAAAAAGCTCTCATACGACGATCTGTCCAACCATCAAATGTCAACGAAACAAAATCAGCTGATGAACATACATGTTTCAATTTGTTGGTAATCTGTTCGTGTATTTTTGGTAAATAATCAGATGCAATTGATCGTCGAGATGGAACACGAAACTTTGGATCAACTATCATCATTGCTTGAATAAATGCAGGTTTTTCAGTAATCGATAATGGTAAATCTAATCCAATTATAAAGTTTTCAAAAACCATTTTAGTTAATTCAACTTGACGATGATGAGAAGATCCATACTTTGACGTATGAGAAGATGAAGATAAACTATCTTCTAAAGAAATTTGTTTTAATTTATTTTCATTTTTTTTTTGTGATTCATTTTTTGACCACAAATCATATTCAGGTTTATGTTTACGTTGTAAATGTCGATAATAATTCGATGTAGAACCTTTTACATGCCATACCATTTCTTTGCATAAAATACAGATGGCAGATGTTTTACCTTTCAAATCACCTGCATTATATTCTTTAAAATCTTCATAATATTGTTCAAGGCCATGACGACCAATTTTTGTCTTAACTGTGCAAGAAATTTTATCATCATTGGAAGAACTTGTTTGTGCATCAGCTGTTGGAAGTGTCAGATCAATTGTTGTTATATTAGATGATGAATCCATTTGCATTTAGATTATTCACAAATAATGAAAAATCAGTAAGATATAAGTTCGATGCACCGAATTGTTTACCAGTTAATATTTAATCACGTCGCAAATGACTTTCTAAATTCTCTCTCTGTCTCTATTTTTCTCTCTCTCTCTCGATGTAATGATACGAGGTCATCTATTTGTAGATCTTTTAATTGCGTCATGAATACTAGATGCATGCACGCCTGTTTTTACTATTGATTTTTTCCGTTCTCTTCTGGCAAGTAATAGGAGTTAAATCGGAGTTGTAAAAAAGAGCATCAACTCCAACTCCGCTCCAGCCCCATTTCAACTCCGCTCCAACTCTACCCACAAATTGCAAAATCCCACTCCAACTCCGCTCCAACTCCGCTCCATACCATTTCAACTCCGCTCCAACTCTACCCATGGATTATGAAATTCCACTCCAACTCCGCTCCAACTCCAATGAAAAAAAGCGTCAACTCCGGAGTTAACTCCAACTCGGAGTTGGAGTTGCCCATCTCTGCACAAATGAATAAAAGTACATTTGATGGATAGAATGAAAAATGATTTTTTAATTTACTACTCAAGTCTAATAAAACGGGGTCGTTAACAATATAAAACGACGAAAGTCAGTTCTATTATATTGCTGTTTTCCGTAATCCCATAAAATGCTGACAATCGTGTGAGAAGATAAAACGGGATGACGGCGAAATGTATTGAAATTCGATATAGTAGTACACTGTTTTTAAGGCGTTTTCGATGATCGTCGTGAGTGAGGCAGTTAAGTTTTATGATATAATAATTGTTACTTTGAAAATAGATGTCGCATGTGTATGTTTATCTTGGAAAGTCTTTTGTCTCTATTTGAAATAATTCCTTATAAAAAATTAATTTTATTTAATTTAATTAATATTTAATATCAATGAAAATCGAATTCGATTAAGAATGTGGAGGTAAAAATTAGTTGAAAATCCATTTTGTACCGAAAACATTCTGGCTCTTTTTTCTTTCGTTCATTCCCAATCAATTTCTTTTTTGTGTTTTGGTTTTAAAGTATTTTCTACCCATAAAAATGTCTGTTTCTTCTTCTTCATGTTCAACTCATTTTATACCAATTGATCCTCGTATTTATTGTGAAACGATGAATGAACTTCATTCATACATCACAACTTCAAAACGTGGTTATTTAACTCAAGCTGAACTTTTTCGTTATTATCGACAACGACATGATAATGCTGAAATACCTTATCGTTTATTAGGCTATCGATCATTACTTGATTTACTTAGTAGTGATCAACGTCTATTTGCTGTTGATTTACATCGTGAACCAGCTTATATTTATTCAGCAGTTAAAGTAATTATTGACAACAATAAACAATAGAAATATTAAAGGTTTTTTGTTTAAATTTAGCTTCGACAACAAAAACGAGAACGACGACGTATGTTTTTATTAAATAAGAAATCTTATTATCTAAATAAAAGATTTTATATGATAGAAGGTAGTACAAGTTTTTCTCGTCAACACCATTCAACGAATACACTTGATGAACAACATCTTGTTCATCCTCCTGACTATGTTTTTTTTGTAACAAAAGAAAAATAATAATAATTTTTTATTTTTTATATTTAACCTTTTTATTTTTCTAGGATCATCATGTACCATTACATGAACAACAACAAGCACAACAACAAGAAAATTTTGAATCAGCCGATGAACAAGAACAATCAATTGAAATACAAAATGAACATCCATTAACACCAAATAATCATAATAGTTTTGATAATAATGTTTGGGTAAAATTTTATCAAAACGAAAAAAAATTTTTAATTAATTTAATTAAATTTAATTTCAGCATACACCACAAGTAGATGAACAAAATCTATTAATCGAAAATAAAATTAATTCAGAGGAAAATAATAAACAATCAATTCAATTTACATCTAATCCATTTTTACCATTACCAACTATTCATCTTCCATCGGTAATTAACTATATTCAACTTATATATATATATATTATTTTCATTTATTTTAGGAAATCGATGATACAAAATCATTCATTAAATGTGACAATCAATATAAACCAATTCAACGGAAAATTATTTTTCAAAACGATGATTATCAGGAAAATAAATATCCAACAATTCGAGTAAATATTAGTTTCGTTATTATTCTAACGAGAAAATTACCCACTGTTTGAGTTCATATTGGATTCACAAACCAGTCTCGGTAAGAATAGAAAGATTCGTACCATGGATCCCTGGAGCCGAGTTATAGCAGGTTTTTACTAAGTTTTCGCCCATAAACAGATCGAATGACTGGTTGCATTTCCTCAAAGTTTCAGTCGAAAAAAAAAGAAAATTTCTTTACCAAGATAATCAATTTCCAAAAAATGGCCGTTTATCACGAAAAGTCGAGTCTACTCGAAAATTCAATATCTCGACAAAGGAACGTTTTTTTTTTCGATTGAATCTTTTAGGATATTCTACTAGTCATTCACTCTGTTTATGAGTGAAGACTCAGATTGAAATACCGTTATTTGATTTTTCGGTGAATACGTAAAGTTGGAACGAAAATTTAGTAAAATGGTTATAGTTCGACTCCGGAAGCCCATGGGTATGAACCATTTTAGAATTTTTCTAGTCCTACCAAGACCTCCTTATGCACCTAATATGAGCTCAAATGCGCTAGGTGTCAGTTCTAGTAGTTTCTTCGTAAGAGAAATTTTCATCTATGAATATATACTAAATGAAATAGTATTGATTGAATATCTATGCATATGATCATCTTTAATTTTCTTTTCAAATTAATAAAATTTCTTTGCTGACAATACCATTAGATTTACACAACGATTTTTTAATCTCTTATCGATTGAAGAAATTCTATGTCGTATATGATCATCCATTTTCATGATCTTTATGAAAAAGAACGATCGTAAATAATGATCCATATGGAATGGTATATTTCTTATTTTACAATAGACATGAATGAGGTTTACCTTTTTTCTTAGTTCATGCTTCGAGCTTACAAACACACTTTATCATTGGCTAGAATTTCGAATGATGTTAATGTCATATTAGAATCCGCTGAGTTTGTTCTCTGATGTTTGATAAGACATGAATATGATCAGTTGTTTGATAAAAAATGATTTAATCGATGTCTTATTTAAATATGAATGTTTCTATTTGATTGAAATATTTTTCTTCATATAATAATCAATTAAAACATCTTTTTAGGATCCAAAATTATTAAAATTTCCAGTTGCTCGTCTTAATCGATCAATAAGTACATCAACAACATCATTATCAAAATCATATTCTTGGCATTTTATTGATTCATATTTATTTCTTTTTGTTGTTCTTATTTCTTTTCTATTTCTTGGTATTTATTTATGTAAACTTTGTTAAATTACTTTAGTTTTATTTATTTATTTATTTTTATTTATTGAAATCCTGAAGAAGAAACAGTTTATATTTTTTGTTTGTTGTTGTTTTATTTTAAATGTATTATATATTTTCATTTATGATTTATTCATGCTTTTTTTTACTAAAAGATAACAAAAAAAAAAAAATGAAAAAAAATAAAATATCTCTATAGATGTAAGATTGATAATTGATCTATTTTGTTTGCAGAAAGAAAAATCATGCGAATTAATGAAAAAAAGAAACTTCATGAAAATCTAAAACAAGAAATTCGTTCATTATTAATTAGTTCACCAAAAACTAAATATGGAGGATTATCAGGTTCATTATTATATTCGGATTATAAAAAATTAAATTCTGGGAAAGAAGTACCATGTAAGTTATTCTTTTATTAAATCAACAGAGTGAACAAGATTATTCCAATTAACTCTTCTTCTTTTTATTATAAATCAACAACGTCTGGAAAAATCGAATTGTTCGAGAATGAACATTTATTGATAAACTTAAAGTTATTTTGTATTTCCAAACGGATGATACGTTCAACGTGCATCATCTGGCGGAATCATTTGAAAAATTTTTTATTCCGGAGTAAATTATTTTTCTATGAAATTTGATATCGATGAAAAAAATTCAACGTTCCTTGAAATTTTACAAAGAACAAGTTTGAGATTTCTGATCACAGATCTATGTTAACCTGGAATGAATCCTGAATTTAATCATTTCATATCTTATAGAAAATGATTTATTCTGCCTTCGTATATATATACTAAAAAACATATTTTCAACAAAAAATTAGAAGTATAAAAATTCTATTGTACAATCTGAATTCGATGGTTGTTTTTTTCGGTTTTATTGTTAGTAGTAAAACATTTCTTTGATGCAATCTTTAAAAAATGATTTCAAGATGAAAAAAAAATCTTGCAAAAGAAATTTCATTATTTTGAAAGGCGTAGTGAGATAATATTATCTTGATTTACATTATACTCTTAAATAGATCCTGTCTATCGTCGAATTCTGAATAATTCTTCATTTCTATTATGATTTTCACTAACACTATAACTTATCATAATCAATTTACTTACGATAATATAGCCGAGCTCGTATTTAATTGGACTAGATCTATGAAAGTCAATCCATAGGCCACTAAACATTGATCCAGTCGAGCTCATGGGTCACCGATCTAGTTAAACATATTTCCCAGAGATAATGTCGTTTAGCATGCTACTCAAAGTTATTCACCATTATTAATGACAATTTTATTTCATAAATAAAATCATAATTTGTTCATGAAAGAAAAGAACAAGACAACGATACTTTATTTTTTGTCAAAAAAAAATCTCAACATGCCAATGCAAGATTGAGAAAATTGATCCGTAGGTGAAATCTCTTCGCTCACATCGTGAAATTAAATCAGTCCAACACAGTCCATGGTCTGTTTCAAAAAAAAAAATTTTACTCATAGATTGAACATAGCTGAACTTAACCCTAAATCTTTTATTTAACATATTGAAAATTTAGTAAACTAACTTGTTTGTTTTATCGAAAGAAATTTTTGAAAAAAGATATTTCTAACAATAGATGTTGAACTTGGTTTTCATTCATTTTTGGCATTATTACGTTCAATGCCTGATGTTGTTAGAATTGAATGTAAAGAAAATAGTCCATCATATCGTGTTCATCCTGTATATGATCAAACAACAGCACATATTCAAAAAATGGTATTTGAACAACGTGATAAATATCAACATGAAAATCAAGTTAATATTTATAATAATTAATCAAGAAAAAAAAATTTTATTTTTCTAGTTATACAATCAAAATTGGCATTCAAATAAAGATACAAAATCTAATAAACAAATTCCATTTAATTGTAATTTGTTAATTATTTTTTAAAATATTTAAAATTTTTTTTTTCTATCTAGTTTATAAAAATGGACAATTACCATATTTATATAATTCTTTATCTTATTGTAAGTTTTTGAGAAATCTTTTTTTTTGGTCTAAAAATAAAAATATTCTTTTAATTATAAGATACATTCAATAATGTATCAGTATGTATTAAATATTTAATAAAATTCCAATGATCGAATTCTTTTCATTTTCTTAAGAATAACTTTCATCATAATACAAAAAACTTCTTCAGACAATCTTGTTAGTTAACATTTTATTTTAATAAAACTTTTGTTTATTTTTTAATTTTTCTTAGTTCCACAAAAGTTCTTTATATCAAATGAACAACGAAGAAAATTTTCTTTTCAACCTTATTTATTGGTAACATCATCCAATAATAATGAAAAAGAAAATGGAAAGATAAATTATCAATCGATTGATAAATTATCTTATGTACCTTTAACATTGATTGATAATCATAAAAACTGTTCAAGTTCAAATATTTTTCAAGAAACACCTCCTCATTTCGATCTTAATGATTATCATTTAGATGAATCAATTGAAATAAGTGAAAATGTTTGTTTTAAAAATAAGAAATTATCCATATATTCTTTCTTCAATTTATATTTCTAAGGATATCGATCAAGAAAATAATTATAATTCATCTATCGATCATCGAATTAGTTTGTATTTTATTGTTTTATTTAAATCGATAGATTTTTTTTGTTATTTAAAGATATATCTGATGATCCATTGCTTACAACATCAATAAACGATCCACAAAATTCCGAAATAGATCAACCATGTAAACATATATTTTCTATTTTTATGTTCAAATCAATATTTTGTTTGTATTCTAGTAACATCATCGTTAATATCAATTCAAAATAGTTCAATTATATCATCTATAAATAATAAAAGTATTTTATTATCAATAATTAATAATATATAATTACTCTTTTAAATATTTTATTGTTTGAATTTGTTTTTCTAAGATATATCAGAAGATCAATCGAATAACTCAGAATATCCTATTCAATCAACTTTATCAATTGTAGAAGAAGGTAATCTTTTGCTTTTAATCTTAACTTTTTATTTATAAAGATTCATTTTCATATTCAAAATAAAAATGTTTATCGTAATGAAGAGAATGTTCAAGATGAAGAATTCTTTGAAATTTTATATCTACTAGAAATTTAGACTTTAATGTGAATGATTTATTTGTTAACATACGAACGTTACAAGCAGTATATAATTAACACTATAGTTTATACGAAGATTATTTGAGAATATTATAGACATGTCTATCGTGCTAACGACAAGTTTATAATTGCGATGAAAACCTTTAGAAGATTATCTTCATGGGAAAAATTATTACTGTGCATTACAAACCTTTGTTTGAGTCAACTTCATCTATTTGTTGCTTTCAAAAGTCTGCATTAACTTTCTGATAAAGTTTTCCATTAAGGCCCCACTGTCACAAATATCGATTTTTTGAGCTTTCTACATGATCGAATAGCCCACATTTTCTATTTTTGGAACCACTACGATGGTTTTCTGACGATTTTCAAGAGATTTTCTGAAAAATTCACAAGCAGAAAATGTTTATTAAATTTTAATTTTTTGAGTCTTGCGAGTTTGCATATAAGTTTCTGACCTAGAGAATATATTCCATATGCTCTAGCGCGTACACTTCATACGTTCACTCCATATGATCCCTCATCAATCACTCTACGAAGGAAAAAGCCGGGAGTTCCAAAGTTCAATTTTGTTTGTCGTTTTTTCTCAAAACGAGGTTTTTTATTCGTGCATTTCAGATTTCTCAGTTATTTTAAATGCTAGAAATTTCGGGAATGTTTTAAATTGAAGAGAAAGTTGTACTCAACAAGTTAACAGAGTCGAATTTTTTATTTTTTGAGAAAATCGATTTACTTGAATCTTTTCTAAATCCACAAGTTTTTATCTTTCTTAGAAAAACCGCTGTTGAACAAAGAATTATTCTTTGAAATTTCTCATTGTGATGAACAAGAACAAGTAAATAAGATTTTATTTATTTTTTTCATTATTCTTTTTCTTGTTTATATTTTCAGTCTAAAATAGATGAAAATATAAAATTTCTAAAACGAATAAATGATGCATTACGTCAATGTATCGATTTTCGTTATATACATCGATTACATAAACTTAAATTCGAATATCGTCATTATCCATTATCAATTGAAACATCATTAATAAAATCTAAACTTGAAAAACTAGCTTTTAACAAATATCAACATGAATTAGATGAATTTGGAAAAATCTCTCAATTAAATACATCAATTGATGATCATTTATGTCAAATAATGTTTGATGAATATATTTATTTACAACGAAATTATTATTATATGACTAAATTAATGAGAAAAAACAAATAACAATAAACAAAATTTCTTCTTTTTTTGTGAAAGAAAAAAAACAGTCTTTGTTTTATATGTGTTGATAGAGATTTCTTTTTGTTTTTTTTTTTTGTATTTTTGTATTTAGTTTAACTAAAAAAAATTATATTTCATAGAACAAATCGATTTCAAAGTTCAAATATGAAATTAATCGAATGGTTCAATTCTTTGAGAAGAAGTCTAATGAAGATAATGATGGCACAAGGGTCAGAGAGTTGCAGGTCTTTCCAGATCCAACCTTTTACTTTTTATCGGACCCGGTTACACGTTTTTGTGGATCCACTGCTCTTCAGATGAGAAATTCAGCAACAAGATATAACTGTACGTTGAGTTTTTTTTCTGAGAGTAGCGAACAAGGTATAAGTCGTGTGCCAACAATCGGTACGGTTTGCAGTGTGAAAAATTAGTCAAGTAAAGTTTTTTCAATTTCAAAACCGAAAAATCCTTATATTAAATAACATTTCGAGTGCAAATTGTAGAGTTAACTATATTGTATTATTGATATATTCTGATTTAAAATAAACCATGTTAGATAATTAGAAATATTGGGTTGGCAACAAAGTTTTTGCGTTTCTTTTTTTTTTAAAGTCTCTAAAACATTCGCGAAACTTCTGGAAGTTTCGCTACTTAGGATGTATAAAGGGAGCCCGAATATCTTGCAAACAACAACAAAACTATGAGTAAACAAGCTGGCTTTGGATTAGAAATGAAGATTTTTCGTAGAGAGTTCCGAGTACTTTTATTTCATGAATTCCGTTTGGGATCGCAAAGCGACGGAAGCAGCAAACAACATATACAGCGCGATAGGCAAGAATGTGCTCTCCATTCGTACAGCGCAACATTGGTTCAATCGATTTAAGAACGGTAACTTCGAACTCAAGCTGACTACCATTTCTTCCATTCTCTTGCCGATCATTTGTGCGAAAAAAAATTCGATGATGAACACGATCTCAAAGTGGGCCTCGGCAACTTCTTCAGCTAAAAGCTCCAGAAGTTCTATATACATGAGATCCTTTCTCTTCCAGAGCGTTAGCGGCAAGTCATAGATAGTAATGGAGCATACATTATTCAAACTTAGTTGTATTTTTCTAGTTAAAAAAATAAAATGAAATTTCTTTTAAAAAAAACGCAAAAACTTTGTTGCCAACACAATAAAAATAGCAAAGAAGATCATCTATTGCGTTTCATCCATTTAAATGTTGGTTAATCGAAATTCACTTCTTTTGATCAAAGTAATCGAATATCAGTTAGTCAGTCTTATAGAGATGGAAGACGATTTACAGTTATACTATTGGTCTTGATCCAGCAGAAAACTTTAGAAATCGCTGATTGATTATGGAAGCAGAGATTCCAAAATAATCAAAACATTGATTATACATTACTTAAATAATGACATGTCGAATATCTTTAAGAGGAAACGCATCGATCAAGATTGTAATAGATAAATTCAAGAGACTGACTCAATCCTTCAATATTAACTACAAAGGCGTATTGAATTAGGTAGTTTTATTCTAGTGTACAAATAAAGCATGAGCAATTTGGGATAGCAATTCATTTTTAATGCTTCCCCAAATATTTTTTTATAGAAAGCAATTGCTGCTCCTTCTAGTGTTGGTGCGCTATCCATGCATACGTGACGAAAGTAGAGTCTCAGAAAAAAATAAAACAAGTCTCATTGTGCGTAAATGTTCTTATAACAACTATCAAAATATGGGTTATTAGAAGTAGCAATTGCTTCCCCTCGTTACTACAGCGCGCTGCCTATAACTTGTAGATATCTTAAGTATATTGTAAATACTTAAAAAATCTGTTATCTCGCTCGGTGTGCGCCATAGGAAGGTAAGATTTTAAATTGGTTAATTTGGCAATGAGAGTTTTAATTAGATCCACATGTATCTAACGTTGTTTACTAACAATACAAAACCTTCCATTATTAATAATAATATCAAGTTCAAACGGTGATCGATAATTGAGAATATTTATTTGTAAGATTTGTAAGATTTGTAAGATTGTCAAATATATTCACTCGATTAAACTTTTTACGCATATCTTGATAACCATGCTTTATATAGTGAGGGTGGACACTTTATCGTTACTTGATTAAATAAAGTGCTTACCTTCAATTAACTCGATCAAGTAAAGTGTCTATACTTTACTAGAAAAATAATTGAAATTGAAATTTTTTTTTTCTAATGTCTTAGTTCGGCATCGCATGCTGATGATGTTACAACCTATCAAAGTTTGTTTTCAATTTGATTTCGTCATCAGATAAATGCAACAAAAAAAAGAAAATAAAAATTGAACAATATTGTTTTATCAACTTGACTTTTTACTTCACGTTTAAACAACAATATTTTACATTAACTTTCCTTTTTCAAAGTAAAATAAATAGAAAATATTATTCATAGCGCTATGTAATCAATTTCAAATAATGACTTGTTACTTAAATTAGGTCCACTGAGAGATTTTATCATCATTTATGAAACAAAGAAATAAGATCAAATTAACCATAGTAGAGACGAAAAGCATTTTACAATTTCGACCCTAAGGATTATCAGATTCGTATATTTTACAAGAAATAGCGACTTGAGCTAGAGTAGTCAATATAAAAATCAAAGTCAGTAACTAATTCTATTATACTAGAGAGAATTTTGTACTGATAAAAATAATAATGAGAGAGATAACTCTTCTCGATATATCAAATAAATTTCATAGAATAATACTCAAAACTAAAGATTAGTTTTAATAATATGACAAAATTTATTATTATCATAGTTTAATGCTTTGTTTTTCTATTTAAAACAAACTGATTAATCTTAATATAACTTCTATAGATATAATTCTCAAGATTTTTTTCTTTAGGAATTTTCTTTTCATATATTTAAGTTTTGAATAATAAAAGTCCGTTAAAAAAAAATAACAAGATTAAATCTTTCCTTAAGAAAAGTAAATATATATATATATTTTTTTTATTGAACAATAAATCAAGACTATTTAATGAGAATAATAGAAATCCTTGAAGATAAAATTTTCTCAATATCGATTTTTCCGACTCGATAATGAACTTTAAATCTAATCCAATAAATATTTCGATAAAAATTATATATATTAAAAAAAAAAAAGTATTTTATTGTAAATATTTTCTAATTGTACTCTAATACCTTCTCGATCTTTCTTCATCATTTTAAATAATATAAAAACAAGTTATTTTTTCTTTTGACATAGCGTGCATCGATTATTCCTTATTAAACCATGCAGACAGTTCTGTTTATATAATACGTTAATATACAAAAAAAAAAAAGAAAAATAAAATATGTCCGTAAAAAACATAGTCACGTTAACAAACGCAATCAAGCTTAGATGATGAGAAGTTTAAAAGAATATCAAGTTCTATGACATCAACGAAAGAGAATAATGGTGTTAATAATAGACTAACAACGAAGGAAAAAGAAAAGGAGAAAATATAAAAAGCGTTGAATTGAAATAAAGACAAGTCTTTTTTTTTTCTTGTTAAGGCATTTATCATATGTGGCAAGATCAAAAACAAACATCAAATTCTCCATTTGATTGTGCTGTTTGTGGTGCTTATGTTTATGGAAATCTTACTGGTATTCGAATATGTTTACCATGTAAATCATTTTTTCGACGTCATGCTTTTTTACCACCTAATGTTTGTTGAATAGAAAAATAAAATAAAATAAAATAAAATTCTAATCATTATTTTTCTCTTTTGTTTGTTTTATTATGGTTAGACATTAAAATGTAATAAAAATGGAACATGTTATATTGAAGCAGCTCATAGATATTTTTCAGCATCATTACCACCATGTCGAGCATGTCGTTTAAAAAAATGTTTATCAATTGGAATGGATCAATATTTACTTCGGAAACGTTCAGCAAGTAGTCCACCTTTAGAATTAATTAATAGAAGATTTAATAATACTCTTATTAAAACTTCCTCATTAGATGAAAATGTTGTTTTATCTATAGTAAGTTTATTTTTATAGTATCTTTAAATTATTTTATATTAGTCATTTATCGAAATTTGCTAATTAATTCTTTATTCTTCTATCTCTAAAGAAAGAAATGTCAACTGATATTGATAGAAAATTGGCTAATGATGATATGAAATTTAATCGTGTTCGTTCGTCAAGCGATATTATTGATCGTCAAAAAGAATTTTAACAAATTCTATTGAGAAGAAAAAAATATATAAAATGACTCTATTCTCTTCCATAAACTATCAATTCTAATGTTTGTTAAACATATAACTGTAGATATTTAAACAATAAATGGTAACACGGAAATATTCTTGTTATTAATTGATAATTAATTTCATGTTTTTTCTTTTAGTCAAACTGATGTTTTCTTTACTGTTTGAATTTGACAATAATATTGTCGTTTCGATAATGATATTATATATCATAATATTCATCATCAATTGTATATTAAAATTTTTTAATAGTGAATGTTTGTTATTTATATTTATCAAATTTTTCTTTCTACTAACTCTCAAATTGTCTCTATCCTATTTTTTTTTGTCTTATTTTGAAAATAAATCATTACGTGTAAACAATTTTGACAATTAATTTCATTTTATAAATATTTAATAAAAAGATATTTTCTATAAAACATTAAAAAAAAAAGCATTTAAGTCTGAAGTAAAATATTGAATGTATGAGGAAAATTTGACCTTTTTTTCTTCATTCTTTATCAATTCTGATTATATGAATTATATATTATTTTAACAATTAGTTCTTCTTCATGGGAATAGTGTGTGTGTATATTAATTATTTCCCATAATAGATTTTCTTCACTATTAATTAAAAACAGTCTTTCATTCTGGTTCGTTGCTACTCCTATCTCATTTAAGCATTAAATAATAGACTGGATTTATCAAAAAAAGAAAACGAATATATAAGATAAGACAAACTACTCATTTTGATTTTACTGAAGAAAATATTTATTAAAGAATCAGCTAATATTAAAACTGCGTTGAATATGAAAAACTAAAAATAGTGTTTTTTTCTTTAATTAAAATAAATGTAAATAGAATGACTAAGGACAGTTTGTCTAAGTGATGATACAATCATTTTCACCCATTTTTTTTCTCCCTGAAATCTATCGAATGTTTCTTATTCGTTTGAGTCTATTCTATAAACTTTGCCAGTTGTTCTACGCTGACAAGAATATTTATTCCTTTTCACGAAGAAAAATTCCAAACATATTCTCAATTATAAAATTTGTTATTGGAACTTCCAGTATTCAACTAAGCTGATAACGAGAATAGAAAATAGATGTTCTAGAAAAAGAAGAATGCATTTATTCATATGAACAATTAGAAAATTCTGAAAATAATAAATACTAAAGTTAGCGTTAATCTCGAGTTATTCCGATTCTCCAATTTGATATTCTTTCGCATGTTACCTAAAAACAGGTTTTTTTTTCTATTGCATAGTATGTTGAAATAGAAGAAGATTAATTTTCTTCCTCCTCAAAAAAAGTTCATTTCCGTCAAAATTATTGAAATAAAGATAAATGGATGGAAGGATAGATTGAGATCAAGATCTCTCACAGGCAATATTCTCTCTTATTTAATACATCTTTTCTTACGAAAACTTTCGATGATTTCTGTCATAATCTACTTGAAAAACAATATTTCTATCAGAAAAATTAATAAATCTTTTTTCTTTTCTTTCTCTCTGCTTATGTTTTGCTGATCGCATATTCCACAATTGTCGAAGGAGACTCATTGTAGCCAATTGCTTTTTTTTGTTTGAAAGAACATGTGAATGTGTATGCCTTGAAGGGCCTGGTTTTTGGCATCACAGCTTTTTTATTATTATACAAAAAAAAGCATTTCTATGAGTAGATGAGCATTTTTCGAGGTATTAAATTTGTCATTTTTTTTCTCGGCATAACAAATAAGAATTAAAAAACAAAAAGCAATGTGTCAGACAGTAGTCTGACATGCTCTATCAAATAACAATAAATAAATAAATATAAAATTATAATTCACAGAGAATTTTAGATTTCGAAATGAGCTATTTTTAAGCCTTGTTTCATGAATATCTTTCAAAAATATAATGTTATACATCAAAAAATTTTCGCATAGCCTCTTCACTATAGTCTGAATATATTCGAAAGATTTCATAAAATTTTAATGTATTTGACTGAAGATCGATTTTTAAGGGCAGTGTCAGAGTTTCATTTTCTAATTTTATTTTTTTTCTCGAAATTTATTAAAAACAAAAAAATAAAAAATGTCTTCTATTATTTTCAATTTCTATCCTGTTCAAATGTCAATATTTTGTATTTATCGGTAAATTTTCTAAAAGAACAACGCACACTAGACAACAACATAGGTATTTGATTAAAAAATGAAAGCAATATTTTTTTTTGAGATTTGAATTATGTAGAATATATCATAGATGGAACCGGAACCGGCAACCGGCTGATCTACTGGTATAGCTATAATAGGTCGATCTTTATAATGGAATTTTTTTAAATAGTGAACTCTGCCAAGTAAAAAGTAATCATAATATCAATACATCAAATATGATTTCATCGTATTATCATAATGCATTCTAGCCTAACAAAGCGTGCATTGTCTTTATTGACAATAATAATAGATTGATATTGACAGCTATGTTTTTTTGAACTGAAAACTATATATTATAATATTTGTACACAATTTTTCAACTATTTCAGGTTCATAATCGAAATTGTAAATTTGGGAGAATTCACTATTAAAAGACATTTCATTGCAAGAATTCGATCTATTATCACTGCATCAGTTCATACCAATAGACCGATCCTCTCTATGGAATATACCTTGATTCATCATCGATTTTTTGGTTTAAAAAAATTCTTCTATCTCTTTAGAAGTTTGGGAAAATCTTAGGCCGAAAAAATGGTCACGTTTGTGTAATCTTAGAGAAAAATGTCTTTTTTACAACGAAAACAGAAAGACCTAAGAGACAAATCATACAGATTCTGAAAATAAAGCTCTTGCTCTATTGTTCTCAATGAAAAACTTTGTTTTAACAGTTTTCCTAGTTGGAAAAAGTCTGAATGCTCTCTCAGACCGAAAGTTTTCTGAAAAGATGTGTTCGATGCGTGTACTTTAGCACAACCTCATGCTCGATGAAACTTTTACAGAATGCTGTTTTCTTTGTTTGATACGTCTACTCAGTTACCCTAAAGATGCATAAATGCTGTTGGACTGAGACACAGATTTTCTTTAAAAAAAATCTTGGTTGTTAAAGATTTTTTGCATTCTTTTCTCTCTAAAGTTTCTTAAAGAGAAAAATAATGACATATTTGGAATCCATGTTGATGTTTTCTTTAGAAATTGATCACTGTACAACGTTGAGATTGTAGTAGATGTGAAATTTCGAGATATTATTAACATAATGAAGTAAATGATTTTATTTTTGTTATATCTGATCATAAGTAGAAAAGAAAAAAAAAATATCTGACAATTAATCAAGAAATCTATTTTATAAACATTTGAATATTTTCATCAATTTAGTTAAATTTCTCCTGATAACATTGTATTGAGATCTAAAAAACAATAATTATAAGAAAAAAATATAATAAAAAAAAAAAATAAATAACGAACCACTTTTAGCTAATGTTTCATTTTGTTTGCTTGTTTGTGATTGTTGAACAAAACGAGCAAATATATCAATAAATGGTTTAAGAGATGTTTGATTATAATCTAATATTTAAAAACAAAAAAAAAGATTTTTTTTGTTTTAATTATTTTTGATTTAAATTGAAATAACCTTTTTGTTTTGTAGAAATTTTTTCATTAAATCCATCATCATTTTGTTGATTTTGTTTTGGTAATTGTTCAACTTGTTGACATAATTCATTTAATTTTGGAACTGAACCTTCTTTACATGGATCAAAATATCCTAATGAATCTAAATGAATTGGTATTGATACACGACCAGTTTTTGGATGAATACTAAATGGAGATTTAAGTAAATGATTCATTCCTTTTGTTACATTTGCATCAAGACGTGGATAACAATATTCAAACATTATTTCATCAATTAATGTTGTATAAGCAGCTTTACGAAACTATTTTACAGAACAAAAAAAATTTTTTTTTTTAATTAAAAATACAAGGAGAAAAAGAAATCAAATACTTTAGTAGTCGATGTTACGGAATTAATCATTGCATCAGTATGTTGTTTAAAAGCAGCCCATCGTTCTGCTGATGTTGTTAATTGAGAAAATATTTCTCGTAATGTTTGACGACGTGAACATTTTAGTCAAGGAAATTTTTTTTTTTTCTTAGCAAAATTTTTACATAATAGAAATACATTTTATATGGAGAAAAAAAGACCCTCAAACATCTCGCAAATGATGAGTCATCATTATCTGTGAAACTAGATCTTCATTAGACTAAAAATAATCAAAAAGAATTCCAAGACAAAAATCTATCAAGTCCGCTTTTTGTTAAACACAAATTAGAAGTTACATTTTCAATAGACTTTATCGGATACAAATCTATAATGGATTCCATTTTCGGATTTATCGTCAGAATTATATACATATACTGTCACAGACAAAACCTTCGTTTCTTTTGTGAAACATGATCTAAAAGGAGTGTTCAAATATAGGAGTGAAAATTTGTATCCCCTTCCGCACACAGACTGTGACAGACATTAATATACCATCACAGGCTCTATACCAATAATGTCTCATTATAATATATGAATAACTTCGTTATTGCATAGCCGGAGGGTTAAGGAAAAGAACGGTGAATAAATGTGTCCAAAAATAGATAGAATCAAATGATCTTCGTATAACTATCGAGGACATCTACATCGTCTTTCATATTTTAATCCCACGGAGATTTTGCTAACAGCTTTTTTTTCTTATTATTTAAAGAAAATAAATTAAAATTTTCTTTGTGAAAAGAAAAAATAATCAAAGAAATCTGTAATATATATTGAATATTGTCTTAGGCTCGAATTCGATGATAAGAAAATTTTCAATCTTTATTCGAACTGAATTCAAGTTTAGAATAAACTCAACGGACTCAAATCCAAATAAAAATTTCTTAGTATGCAGAGATGGACAGCTCTCACACCCGTGTGGAATGACTGAACGAATTGCTGGAGCTGGAGACAGATACCATCAACTATAGTTTTTCTCATTTAAAAGAGAATTTCAGTGTCATTAATTAATAGAAAAGCTAGTATGTCAAATCTCCTCGAGATTAACTTTCACTTCTAATACGAACTGATCATTTTATAAGATATTTCAAATTGATTCTGATTTGAAAAAATATTCTATAGAATATAAAACAAAAAGGATATTATCATCAGGAACAAGTCGAATAAATCGTTCAATACGTTGATCATCTCCAAGAAAATCTTGTTTTAAACAAGCATATCCATCAAATTCAGTTAAAATTATTTCACGAGCTCGTCTAAATTAATAAACAAATTTTAAAAATAAAAAATAAATTTTAAAATTTAACTGAAGTGATGGATGTAATGGAGAATAAAGTGTAACACGTTTCGATGATTCTTTTCCAGTCTAAATTAAAATAAAATAAAAGAGATTAAAAAAAAAATGGCAATATTAAAAATAATCATACAGCAAGAATAGTTATATATTCAACAATAGTTTGTCGAGTACTTGATTGTAATTCTCTTGCTGTTTGATCACAAACCCAACAATGAACGCCACGTCGACCAGAATAAATCCATAAACGATGTTCAAATCCAAAATCCTCTTCAGAACAAAAAAAAAATAAAAAAATTCTTTTTAAAATAAACAAATCAAACCATGTAATACACGATCGATAATTTGCATAGCAAATCTCATTAATGTCCAACATGTCGAACAAATATCAGCACCACTTAACAAGAGAAATTTTTTCTTTTATTTCATATTTAATAATAGAGAAAAACAAAACAAAACGATTTGTTTACCGACAACAAAATCGTACATCATCATAATCTGTCATATCAATATCAAATACAAGTTCACGTTCAATTGGATAAAATTGTGTTGTAGATAACATTTTATGATCTTTTGGCTAAATTATAATTATTGAATAAATATAAATATGATTATAAAAATATTACTTTAGCTGAATAAACAGCACCAATATCAATTTTTTCTGGAGACATTTTTATTAATTCTTTTTCAAATTCCATATGATTAGAAAATGAAAGATAACGACGATAAACATCATTTTCAAGTGTAAAACTAAATTCACGTTGAGCAAATTGTAAACTTGATGCAGCTAAAATCATTAATTAAATTTTGCTTTTTATTTTCAATATTACGATTTTATTGTAAAAAAAAAAGTTCAAGACATACAAATTCAAATAGATTATCTCCGATTAGATAACAATATATATTTTCGAATTATAGTTAACTCAAACGAAATCGAAATCGTCATAGTTACTCATTTCTTATGCACTAATATTCTTCGCTATGAATTGTTCTTGTCAGAGCTCTCTATAGTTTTTCGAAGTAGAAGAAACTAAAAATTTGCCAGATAGTATTTTGACAACAGCTCGAAGCTTTTGCAAACACGACATAAAAAGTTGAGATGAGAGGCTAACTCATCTCAGCCTCTTCCATAGCGAGGGTTATGCTTCTTGTATTGTCTATTAGAAAGTCATATTCAATTAGTCCGAATTAATAATTCGGAAAAAATTTCTTAATCTGTATCATTATCAGCTTCGTTTCCGTTTTGAAAGAAACTTTGCAGTAACATTCCGCTCCATAGATTTTATTCCACATCTTGGTCATTCGACTGTATATTAGATTGTTTCAGTGTAATCATTTTGATAATCAATTTCTATTCTCAAATCTTGAACAACTAATCATATTGAATATATATATATATATACAACAAAAGATTATATTCGATTATTCTTTGACAAAGCTCGACAAATGAGAAAAAAAATGAGATTAATCAATCGAAATCATTTTGCTGATACATGTTTCACTCTGGTTGCAGCAAGATAGAATAAGACGCTACGATTAAAACAATTGCTAAAGTACTTTGACAAACTTGATATTATACAAAAGAGTTTTTGTTTTGTTAAATAATGTTCGAAAAATTAGCATAAGATCATAATCATGAAATTTTTTAATGCTTTAGTATAAAGAAAACAATATTTGTTTGAGAAAGTCCTTGGCTTCTCTCAATTATTTCTGTGAGAGGAAAAAATAATCGATAAAGTGTTATCTTCGATATGAAACTTTATAGAATTCTATCTGATAAATGCAACAATCAATTATTTGATATGTTTTCTTATTTGATAATAAAATGATTGCGTTTTGTTAATATAATTTGGTTGAATTTGAAATAAAATAATTTTTGTAAATGATTGACTCACGTTCTCCATAAGCAAGCCATTTACAATAAATATGTGATGGAAAAATTCGTCGATAATAAATAGCTAAATTCCATGGTGTAACAGATGTTTCATCAATTTGTTGTTTTTCTTCATTTGACATCTGAAAACTAAAATCTTAATCAAATTCCTAGACGATTTTATTTTACGAAACCAAAGAAAAAGAAGAAAAATTTTGGGGATATAACTATGTTTATAAAGTAAATCAACTACTAAAAGAAAAAAAAAACCACGAAGTTCTGTCTGGTTATATAATTGAAAGATAAATAGTTAATTTAATTTTTTTGTTCTAAAGCTGCAGCACCTGAAATAATTTCAATAAGTTCAGTTGTAATAACAGCTTGTCGTGTTCTATTATAATATGTTGTTAATTTATTAATTAATTCTCCAGCATTTTTCGTAGCATTATCCATAGCTGTCATACGTGATGATTGTTCTGATGTAGCATTTTCTTTCATAGCATAATAAAGAACAGATGCTAAATTAAATTCTTGAAATGAACGAAGAACATCAGCATCAGTTGAATCATAAACTTGAATTGATTTTGAATTCGCTATAGCTTCATTTGATAAAATTTTTTGACGTGATGTTGTATAAGCAATAGCTGATCTATTTTAAATTAAAATTTTCTTTTTTCTTTTTCAAAGAAAAAGATTTTTTTATTTACTTAAATTTATTATAAACAATTTCAGCTGAATCAAATTCAAAACCGGAACTAATTAATTGTTGTGCAATAGCAGATGCATCACCAAAAACAAGTGATCGTTTTCCAACTTCATTTATTGATAAAAGTAAATTTGCTGCATGTGTTCGAGCAAGACCAGCACGTGATTTATCTCCAATAGCAACAACTTTTGTTCCTTCTAAATTTTGTTTTGGATCAGTTAATTGTGCACGAATATTTTTTATAATTGATGAATTAGCTGCACCACAAAGACCACGATCAGATGTTGCTGCAATAAGAACCTGTTTTTGAGGACCTTCAACTTTTTCGACTTCTAAACTATCATAAAAAGCTAAAAAATAATTCAAATTATTTTTATTTAAATTAAATAATAAACAATTTATTTTAGATTTTTTCTTTTTTTTACATTTTGCACTCATTCCATATGAACGAGCAGCACGTAATTCTCTTTCAGCTTTAGCATATTTAGCTGCTGAAACCATTTTCATTGATTTCGTTATTTTTTGAATACTTTTTACTGATTTTAAACGACGACTAACTAAAAAAAATTCATAATTAATAAAAATAATTCTTTTAGATTACAAAAAAAAATTCTTACTATCTTTCAAAGTTGCCATATTACGAACAGAAGTGTTATTCCTATAAGAATTAAATTGATAGAAAAATTTAAAAAAAACCTATAGCAAAAAATAATACCAGAGAAGAACACCATTTGCTGGTTGTTGTAAAATCCCAACAGCTTTGACAACGAACGACATTTTTAGTTTCTGTTCAAATTTTCTTCTCTAAAATTATTTATTTTTGATAAAATTCTAAAAAAATCATAAAATTATCTCGAAGAATCGCAATTACATTGGTTTTTTTTTAATACGAAGAAAACAACGTATTTTTTTTAACCATAAGCAACAGAGAGACAGAGTACTTCATTATTTACTAAACTTCTATTGGTCAATTCCTCAACAACTAATCATATCTGAGAATTTAACTTCTCATCTAGCACATTTATGCATTTCAACATTTTTATTAATAAAAATCTTTAAAAAAAATTGTTTTTTTTAAACTCAAATTTCATATAAATTTTGTTTTTCCTAAAAAAAGAAAATAAAAAATGATGAGTCATAATAGAGTCTTCGTTTTTGCCTCGAAGAATCTTATCCCATATACGAAATCAAATATAATCATTAATAGAAAAACAAAAACGAAACAATGAGCAATAATTCATTAATATTAGGTCATTTTATTCCATCATCATTTATTGAACAATCAACACCAATTAGACGTGTAACAAGTACTAGTAGTGATTCAGGTGATAGTGGTGTTGATCCAGTAAGAGATTTTTTATTTCATTTATTATTATTATTATTATATTTGTTAAATAGTCATATCGACAAGAACGAAAAATATTTGTTGGTGGTGTTCCATCATCTGTTGGACCAGAAGAATTGGCACATTTTTTTCAATCTTATGGACAAGTTAATTATTTATTTAATCATTTTTATTTTCTTTATATTTAACTATTTAGGTTGAAGAAGCTTTTATTATTTATGATCGATTTAGTGGTCGACATAGAGGTTAAAACTTTTTTTTTTCTTTCAAAAAAAAAACTAAAATATTAATTTTTATTTAGGATTTGGTTTTGTAACGTTTACAGATATGGCTACAACTAAATCTGTTTGTTCTACACGAATTTTTAATCTTCATGGACGAAAGGTTTTTTTCTTTTTTTGAAAAAAAAAATTATGATTCTTTGATATGTAGATTGAATGTAAACGAGCATTAAAACGTGAAGAAATTTTGGCTACAAATGAAAATGATTCAAATGATTGTAAATCATATCGTCCAAGTTTGTTTTCTTATTTATTTTAAATATCTAATTAATTCATATATATATAAATAGATAATATTTGTCCATCTCCACCAATACAAACAAATATTCCATTATGTCCAACATCGATGCCAATATCATATGGACAATATCGTCAAATACCATCTGCTTTTATTAATACACTTGGGACTTGGATAGTTAATCCATCAATACCACAAATGTTTCATCCTTATCAACAATATGGTAACAATATATTTTTATTTAAATACCATTATCAACTCAGTCAGATAGAGAATTTGACTTTATTTATTAAGTTTAATTTAATCAATAAAACGAAACTGAATTAAGACTAAGAAAAGAGAGCGACATCTTCAATTTCATTGTTCGAATCATCATTTCGGATCAGTTTTTTTTTTCATAATTTGATCACAAGTGAATCCTTTACCGACGAAAATCTAATATGAGCCAACACAACCGGTGAATTGTTCTCGATTCGACGAAATAATAATGAATAGGATTCGAGATTTGGTCAGCTTTTTCTTTCTCTCAAAAATGTCAAACTGTTTACTAAAATTCTTAATATTTTCTGCTAGTTTTTAACAGCTTTGCAGTAACTTTAGATAAGATTTTGAAATGGCATTTGCCATTCTCTAGCAGAAAGTAAAATAAAAAAAAGCCGACAATTTTCGATTCAGTTCAAATCGTATCTACTCGAAGCACCATATAATTATATTGAACGAGTGCAATAGAATCGCAACTTCTAGTGACTCTACTGCCTATCAGCTGATATTTTTACTCTGAAAGAATAAGAAGACTTGCGCACTAATTTGAGCTATTTTTTTCGAACTTTATTTCTAGTTAGTTCGTTGATGGTTATTTATCGCATTGGATAGCAGTGACAAAGAAAGAAAAAAGTAGTCTGCTATGTATTAGCTTGCGACCGATCGTCACGATAAACAACGAATCCTATTGATGACAAGACAAAATAACAATCCCACTATGCTAAAGAACCATTATGCTCTATAGTGTAATCAATAAAACCTGATTGTAGCCTTCACCAGCTCAATATACCCTAAACAGAATATATTTTGCAGTGGAGACAATTATTTTTACTTAGATTCGACTTGAGTTTCAAAAACTCGGTTCGTTTTCGGACTCTCCGAGGGTGGCCTGGCGGGAGGTGCTGGATCACAATAGGTTTTGTCGTTCCTCTTCTCCTTGATCACCAGTTCTATTATCCGATGCAAAGTAAAAGGCAGTTGACCATTTTTCGTATAATTTTTGATGGGAACGAGATAGAGAACTGTGATTTTTACCATTCGAAAGAATGAAGTCCGGGCTATCGATTGGTATAGAACCCATTAAGGCGAAAGATGTTTTTTTTGTATAAGTTCCTTTGAATCAACACTTTTTCCTATGAGTATTCTCACAATAATTTCAACTTAAATTATGTCAAAATGTAGCTCAAATCACACCCTTTTTTACTATCAAATTATCATATATTTGATTATCTCTCAACCTCTTATTCTAAGCGGATTTAAAAAAACAAATGTTAATTTTATAGCAAAAAAAAAAGATGATTTGAGCTACATTTTGATCTAATTTAAATTGAGATTATTGTGAAAATACTCCAAGGAAAATGTATTCATCCAAAGGAACCTATAAAAAACACCCATCTTTCACCTTAATGAGTTCTATACCGATTGATGGTTCCTAACATTGCTCTTTCGAATGGTGAAAACCGCAGTTCTCTATCTCGTTTCTATCAAAAGTTATTTGAAAAATGGTAACCGACCTTTTATTTTGGATCAGAAAATAGAACTTCGAGGGTACAAGCACTTTCTGCAGGTATTTTCGGATTTTCAGCCCTAAAAAATCTCTACCAGAGATGAAATTAATTCGGTTCCAAAAAAAAATCTCTTAAGACATTGTATTTTCATTATAAAGTGAGATGATTTTTAATTTATTAAATATATAATATATTCTAATTTGAATGTAAAATTTATTTTCAGCTGTATTTCCATTATCAACAATCATGTGGAATAATCCATATCAACAAACAACAATGCAATCACCGTTTATTCAAGTAAATTAGTAGACATATATTAACTGATTTTGTTTTTCTCTACAATAAATAATATTTGAAATTTTTCTTAAAGAAATAGAGTTTCTAAAGCTATGAAATCGTTTTATTTAATCATACTATTAAAAGTTTCTGTAATATTTCATTTAAATGAAAAGTAAGAAAAATGGTAGAAAATTTTTAAATGATAAAAGAAAATGTTGATTGTTTTTGTTTTTTGTTTTTTGTTTTTGATTTAATATATAATTTAGGAAATAATGGTTCCATCATCATCATCATCACCATCAACAATGATGAATTCATAATAAAATTTCAATATATAATTTCATTTTTTCTGTCATTTAAAAACAAAATTGTATAAAATGATCTGTTATTTTGAACAGTTATTCTTTATTCTGCTAAATTGATACTTTTCTTCTCTTCGTGTTTTTTTTTCTACTCTTCAGAGTAAGATATTCTTTCGTTGTTTCTTTTTTTTTCGTTAACTATGTAAATATCTATATAAAAAATCCATCATTTATTCAGATATAATTGATTGCATTCATGTTGTTAAACGTGTGTCGGTGTTATATCTCTATATATCTATCTATATATTTTTTTTTTCATTTCTTTATTATTCTACTTGTGTTGCGTGTGTTCCATTTTGGAAAGAAAAAATAAAACTGAGTATGGAAGGATAATTATCTTCTAATAAGGTATATTCAATACTTTCTTACTTTATAACAAGATAAACAATTCTATCAATATCTTACAATTTAATTTAATCTCAATATTTATTATTTATTTTATAAGTAGACATGGAACCAATACCAGTAAAGATTTAAGATCAGTCGTTACCGGTGCGACTTATTTATTTTTTTGCTTTTAGTATCTCATAGAGAATATCTAATGAAACTTTGTTGAATATATCAAATATCACTATCTATAGATGGAATAATATGACAAATTGTCAGTCCAGTATTAATATGGATTTCAGACCGATTCTATCTTTGAGTATAAGTATTCTATTATTAAAAAATCTATTAAGAATTATTCTAAAGTATATTTATGAGTACTAAGTCAATTCATCGTGATCAGGTGATGACAGAGATGTCCATGGCAGCACGGCAGGTCCTTTTTAGAAGACATTACAAAATTTCATGAGTTCGATTTTGGTCGCGGCGCGACAGAGGCAGATTCTCAGGCGTGATGGACATCTACGGTTGGTAATATACATAGATAAGAAAAATATTTGAGATCAGTTTGATTGTCTAACATTTAACTTATAAAAGAAAACGATCAAATACTATTGAAATGATGTATTGCATCGACTTTATTGAAGAAAAAACAAACGTGAATTATCTTGAAATTGTATGAACTCAGAATGGCAAAGTGCCAAATAAGACAAAACTTGAATTTGAAATATTCGTGTTACAAAACAATTTGAAAAAAATCTTTGTAGCACATTTGTTATGCTCATCTGGCAGTTGTTGAATTTGTGAGTTCAAACTAAATATACCAGTATTTATACTTTACAATAGTGTTATGCAGGTGGGTCGGATCCGGATTTGAAATCATACTTAGCAGTATAGAAGATTTTGACGTTTCAAAATATTTTTACTTTTTCAATCTGCTATTTATATAAAAGCATAGGAAGAGAAACAGGTTCGATCATGATTAAGCAATTTATTGTACTTGGGAACAATTCGTTTTTAATGAAAATTCATTTACAGATGATGAGAAACCATATGACGAAATAATTGAATATGTAAAGAAAAAAATAAATTATTGAAAAGGTGACGGTAAAATCATTCATGTATGTATTCACAGTTATAACGTTTGATATCTACACTACATTTCATTCCAGCGTTATCAGCGGCAGAAAAATGAATACTTACCGAAATCGATCAGATTGTAGAAGCAGAAAGACACTAAATAAACTTTGTTGAATTTGAGATGATACTTTTTTTTATTGCTGTTTATACAAGAAACTAAATAGAATACTTTTTCATATAAAATAAAAGTTTAAAAACTGCAATAACTGTGAAAGTAATTATCTGCTGGATGTCAATTAATTCCGAGCTGGATCCAAGTGCGAAAAATCGTACCCGTGCAGGACATTACTTTACAATCTATTTATTCAATGATGTATTCATTATTTATCTTTGTTAACGTTCTTATTTACGAACTTTTAAACATTATCCGTTTCGTATTGGATACAACGTTACTATAAAAGAAATTAGAGTTGCACAACTCATTAAATATTGATTCTTTTTCTTATGCAAATTCTCTGATAGATTTTGCTATTTTGAATTCAATATCAAGATGATTCACATTATTTTTTTCTTTGTCAATAAGATTGATACAATGCATCATTTCGACACTATTCAATTATGTTCTTTATCGGTGAAATATTAGATGATAAAGCTTATCTCAATAAATGTTTCTTTCTTACACATGCGATGAATTGATGGGTCATCAATACATGAGAACAATTGTTGAAATACGTGAACCTTGTCAGAAGAATCCTATAGTGGTTCCATTTCTTTGAAATACTTGTGACTTATTTTATACATTAATTATTTATGTTATCTTTTGAATATTAAACATAATAAAACACTACAACATTTGAATAATGACACATTGTGTAACTTTTCATTTTTTTTAATACAATAAAGAAATATTTAGTTTGTGATGCTTCGCCGTTTCTTCTTTTTTGTATTTCAAAAGTTTCCATCCTCTCTTCCTTTTTGTGACGAGTTTCTCTCGTAGATTTGAAGCAAAATCAAATATAATAGCAGAGTATTGTTATTTATGATTGTTTGGTATAACTAATTTAAATTTATCTGGACAATTCTCTTACATTAGATAAAGTAAATTATGATATATGTTTATATTTACTTTGATTTATAAAAAAGTGCTGCATTCATCGAAGTGAAATCACTAGAGAAGACCACACTGATCTCCCAATGACTGCAATTTTTGCTGTAAGAAACGAATAATTAATAATAGTTGAATGTCAGGCTGCAATCGCAAATGTTCTTTGAGAAAAAGTCGTCTGTTTTTATGAGAAATTCCATTGAAAGAAAAGTTTATTGATTTGCTCTAAAATTCTGTTAATATTCAATGAACTTCACGTAAAGCTGCTTCTCGCACAATTTTTAAAATTTACCAAAGAAAATACCTTATCTCTTTATGAGATGATTGTAGTAATAAAAAAAGATAAATTTCATTTCTATCTTGTTTACTACAACGCGTCTCTGATTCAATTTTTTTGAACGAAACTACAGTATTTTATCATTATTTTCCAGAAAATTGGGTGGTAATGTACAAATGTGTTGTACTATAAAGTCTTATAACATTTTACCAGTAAGAAGTTATCCATGTGACGAATTTTTTTACAAGAAATAGTTGACGATGAAATGTTAGCAATGTAAAGTTCTAGGATAGTGTGAAGATAGAAAGAAATAAAACATTTTCGTTGAAAATATTAGAAATTCTCTTTAGAGTGAAAAAGAAAAATGATGAATGTCTATTTAAATCTTGTTGACAATTGCTTCTGCAAGTAGAAATGTTTTTAAGGATTTCCTTTTTTGTCAATAATGTATTTCTTCTTATGTAAATCGTTTTAAGTGACTTTTGGTGTTGTTTGAAGAAAATATATCTTATTAACTTTGTGTAGGATGATTTCTGTTGGAAATGGTATAGTTTCCATATATTGGTAGAGATTGTTGATCTCTCTATCAAATACTTTCGATAATATTTTTAATATTTTATTGATCAATTGTAATTTTCAATTAGTTTGGTCATATATACGTGAGAAAATATCTCATCTGTTGTTAAATTGCATATGAAAAATTGATTTTGAAGGACTATCATCTGATTTTGTTTCTCCTCTTGAAATCATTTTTATAATGTTGACTTTTATCCGAGCACTTATAATAAAACTAAGGATAACATTTAATCAAAAAATGTCAATAACATAAAATATATGTTATGATTTTTAAAAATTGATTAGTAACATTATTCAGACAATTTTTCAAGTAAGCACAACAGAAACTTTCTTTCTTAATAAATATTATCGTATCTTTACTTTCATAAAGAGTAAAAATACAAATAATTATACCCATATAAAATAATTTATCATAATTAAATGTCATTAATTTGTATATCGAATAAAAAGATAGAAATATTTGTTTGATTATTTAAAAAGAAGAATAATGATGAGAATAAACATGACTTAACATATATATATATATATAAAAAGAAAAAAATTTTATTTTAATACGTAACAAAATGAGATCCAAAGAAAAACTTGTTCAAATTGAATCTATGTATATGTTTTTATTTGTTGAAACAAAAAAAAAGTAAATAAATCATGATGGTTTCCATGGGAAATGTTCTCCACGTGTATCTCTATGTTGAATTTTATCTCTTGCATCTTTACAAATAATATCACCTGAATCTCCATCAAGTAATGTTAATGTTGGAATACCAGTTATATGATATTTTTTTCCTATTTCTTCTTTTTTTTTTCGTTCACTATAAGGTAATGTTAACCAAGGCATATCTTTATAATATTCATTATATGCTCTTTCATCACGATCCGAACTAATAAATATTATTTCAAAATTTTTTTCTTTACTATAATTTTTATAAAATTCAATAAGTACTGGAGTAAAACCACGGCATGGTGGACACCTAACGAAAACAAAAAAAAAGATTTTTTTATTCGATAAAACTTTTATATGAATAATAAAACATACCAATGTGCACTGAAATAAAGACCAATTACTTTACCCTTATATATATCATCATTAAGATCAACTGGTTCATTGGATTTATTAACAATATGTCCATCAAATAATTTTGCAACACCGGCCATATTTTGTTTCTTTATCTTTCCTATATTGCCAAGAAAAAAAAAATGCAGCAATGACAATTGCAGCGTCCTCAATGACTTGCATTTTTTCTTCGTTGTTGTTAATACTACGGCAGTTTTTCGTTCTTTTTTATTCTCAGCTGCACCGTTAACAAGAGGACATCGATAAGAACAAAAAAAAAGAAAGAAAGAAAGGGTAAGAAAAAAAACGAATGAATATTTGGTATGCCTACATTCTATAGAAATTGTAGAGAAATCATATCTCTTCAGCTGTCTCTTAGTTTTTCTTTTATGCGTATATTATTGTAATATATTTTACTCATCAAATAACGTCAAAAATCTTATATAACATAACTTTTAAACTACTCGAAGCGAAAAATAAATATTATTCTAATGAGAAATAACTTTATTGATTGATTTTATTAGAATAATAGAGGTTAAAGA